TGCGATCAATACTGCCTTTCCATATCGGAAACCAGGCGGTGTGCGTCACGAGATTCGACCAATCAGAATGCGTTATTCATAGAGTGATTTTCACGCTTGGAAAGAGCCGTTTTCAGAGGTGTATATGATGAAATTTTCGCTTTATTCCAAGCTTGTGTAGGTAACTTCGACACTATGCCTCCGTGGAAAGTTGTTGGAACTTTTTATCTTGATAATAGTTACGTTAATTTTAAATATTTTGCTTTCTTGAACGTTTGTGAGAAGTTTGAATTGCTCGGTCATGTGCAGGCCGCCATGATGATTTGAGTGTTATTTTCGTCGTTCTTCTTGGATTCATTGCTGGTTACTGTTAGCAGTTTTATCGGATTATTTTGGTCATCTAGTTACTTCAACCTTTCTTCTTTGTAATGTCGGGGTCTACCGGGGTCTACCCGGGTCTACCCCTGTTAGTTTTCCCGCTATGAGACGTTGCAAGTACCTTGGAATGAAGAGATCATCTCAACCAAGTAGCATAACTCCCGGGAAACGGGCTAAGAAAACATGCCGAAGAGGAAGCCGACGTGAAGCGAGTAACGCCAAATCTTGGAAGAGTTTGTTCCATTTTAGACCATAAAAGGTAAATAAGTTTGATTATTGTAATAACCTTTGGAAACAAAACATTTTTCATAACCCAGTGCGGAAACTGAAAGCATGCCTTAAAAATATCTTGCGTGCAGTGTGTGCTATGTGTAACAAAATTTTCATGTAAACTTACGTAAGGGAATAAATTGTAATAAATCTCTACCGCCAAAACGCAGAACCATTATCGAAGATGGAAACATTATCATACAGGATTTTAAAACTGTGAGGTCCGGGTCTATAACAAAATCGATACACTGCGTTCACTTCAATAACCGCACAGACAATTCTGGGGCCGTAGCTTCCGAATCGCTAAAATTTGCATTGTGCTGTAGCTGTCTGCCTCTTACGGTCTGCTTTTCCCTTGCCAGTGATAAAAGATCTATTTGCGCATAACAGTTTGCAAAATAATATAAACTAGTCGATGAAAATAAAATAATAATTATTGTTTGTTATTGTTGTGAGAGACGACGCAAGATTTCTCACCTTGCTCTTTTTTCGCGCTCCCTGGCTGAGAGCTAATAAGATAATATAAGATAATTTTATTATATCTCTTCAGGATATCTCTGTTTGAATTGAATTGCATGTAGTATTTCACTTTCGAGTTCGCTGCACATGATGCCAACACAGTGGAGTGCCTCTTCAGAATAGGACCAATCTATGTGCCGAGCGGTACAGATTAATCTAGGAACATCACACTTTGCCCAGTTAAATTTCTTGGAAGCCAGATATTCCACATTATCATACAATTTCACTTCCAGCGTTGCTGTTAAATCATCACTTCCAAGCAGTGGGGGACCTGAAGTAATCTGCTTGATAATGTCAGAGTCAGAGGTAAATATTTGGTCTAAAGTAGATGGTCTGCTTTTTGTTATTGACTATATGCCCGCCTTCTTGTGATTTCGTCAGTGATATGCCATGTGAGACCACAAGAAACAAAACAATTAGCCTGCATAGCAAGCGTTTCCGTTTGGTTTCGGAGTAAAGAAAGACCGAGGAACGGGATTCTCGGTTTTGGCCGCGCGAGAAATGAAACAAGAGCCATTTTTCGCGCGGTCTTTGACTCTCGTTCCTCTTTCTTTGCTCCTAAACCGCACGGAAACGCTTGCTACGCAGGCTACAAAACAATCAATGCACTTCTTTTGATTTAACAATCTCCGATCAGAAGTGTCGATGGCTCCGCGAACTGTTCCGTGAGACCAAAAAACATTCACCCACCAAGATTACTTGATCAGTATCACTTTATTCTAGTAGGTAGATTGTGTAATTCAGACCTCACGGCTATATCGTGTTCATCAGTGGATGAAGGTAATCGATAGAGACAAACAATGTTTACATCACCACTATTTAACAGCGAGTCACGTACACAGAATGTTTCAACAAGGAGCCCGAACGCTGTATTAGCTAATAAAATCATAAGATGCATTTACCTTTGTTCCTGTGTCTTTATGAGTCGCTTTGGAAGGGATTTGAATCCGATCAGAGACAGTTAACATCGCTGGTTTTCAAATGCGTTTGCTTGTCTGGCGCTTAGTAAATAAGACGCTCAAGTTTCGTCTCACGTTTCTAATATTGTTAACTTTTAACTTTCCCCCAACGGCCACGAGATGAAACCCGAGATCATCTCCCGAGGAGATCGAGAGTTAATAGTTAACATGACAATGTTAGAAACGTGAGACGAAACTTGAGCGTCTTATATTACGACACGCCAGACAGGCAAACGCATTTATAACCAGCAATGTTAACCTTCTCTGATCGTATTCAAATCCCTTCCAAACCGACTCATAAAGACACAGGAACAAAGGAAAATACATCTTATTATTTTATTAGCTAATACAGCGTTCGGGTTTCCAGTGATGTTTCCAATATTTGCGCATTATAC